TCTCCTAAAATGCATGGATCTTCCAGAAGATACGCAGCCATATGACATCCTCCTACCTTTGGGGAGGAGAAAGCATGTGCTTCGCTGAGATTGCAGTGGTGGGGTTCACAGACGGAGTTGATGGGAGCTGGTTTAGCCAGACTTCGCTTTTATTATGTAATGCCTCCCTGAAGACACAGTATGACCTCTCTTAGGCAATTTTCGTCATTACCAGAGAAGGACAATGCTGTAGTTCTACACTTTGTGGTCAGGATGTGTGGACTTAACACATCATCAATTAATTACCATTTATCTCCTGCAACCATCTCTCTATCCTCTTGACCTCGTTTCATCAAAAAAGAAAACCTACAGCATCTCCTGATGATCACATGGTGGCCGTAAGCTCAATACCATCATTTATTTCTCTCACCACTTACTCCACACCAAGGATTATTGATCAAGATTGCCTGTACCTTACAGTCAACATCTAATGTACACAATGTGTAATGTAATTTAAATAATCAAATATATGGTAAAAAACAACAACGACAAAAAAAAAAAAAACACTTCAGTTTATGTAGAAGAAGATTCCTTTGGAAGTTTTCCTCAGACTAAAAAATATCTATTTGCCACAAGCATTTATTGCATCTTTTATCACAATTGTTTTTCAAACTTATGTAAGTAAAAGGACCTAAATCTGAGTTTAGAAGGATCTTCCTTCATTTATCATTGTAATAATTCAATTTTAAATGAAAATTCTTGATTTGTGAAAAGTTTGCTTGTTCTGCCTGTCAGAATTCAATGTTTCTTTTTATTTATTTATTTATTTTTTAAGCCAACACCTTTAACAAATTTGCACACTCATCCACAATTCCTTCCAAGGAGCAGCCTAAGGGGAACCATTTGTCATTTTAATTTTCTTTTCATTTATTTTGGATTTTATGTTAAAAAACACTCTGTTTCTTCAAAAAAGAAAAAAAAAAGTGAAAGTATTCAGCAAGGCTTATGAATAATTACCATTCCTCAAGAACATTACTTACCTAAATTGCTGGTTGAATTTAAGACAGAAAACCATTTTCTCCAGTCTTAAATTTCTGAGAGTGATTAGATTTCTCAAGTATAAGGAGAACTGCACTGATATTAGAAGGCCTGGTTCAACGCTCAGTTCTGTAACCTCTGTGAACCCATTTCCTTTATGGGAGATGGGAACATCGGTGTCTTCTTTCTTTACAAAATTCTTGCAAAACAAACAAGATAATGCCTACAAAACACTTCAAAATTTTTAAAGTCTAGATTAGACGGGTAAAAGTTAAGGTGCTGATCATCCTTAAAAAAAACAAAACATAGTTACAAATAAATCTACAACAATTTAAAGAGTGTGGCTCAGGTATGGGCTTCTCTTGTTTAAGATCCAAGCCTATGTAACACATTCCAACAGAACTTCTGACGGGCTCAAGTATAGCTTCTCTGCATCTGGCACATGTGAAAATAGCCTTGGCGTTGGTGAATGCAGAATTCCTAATAAGGCTTGCTTGTCTGGGTGCCTCTCTTCCTTGAAGAGGGCTTATGGCCTCCGTCTAAATAAGTCTACAATCTTTTCTGTTTATGGCACCCCAAATATCAGTTCCCACAACAAGTTCTCAGAGTGAAAAGCCCTTATGTATCATACACCTCTCTCCAGGATGGCTTCTGCTTTTAGTTCAACAATTTAGACCAATGTTCTAACCTCTCTGCAGGTCACCCTCTTTGCTGTGTTTTTTCCTGGAGACGGGTACATATAAGACGAGCAGAGCCACGTGTGACTCTGTAGTCATTTAGGGAGGCAGGAGCTGCAAGACTCTTCTTGTTAAAGGCTGATTGTATCTTTAGAAACGCTCTGCCTGAAGATACCAACTCTGTTACCACCCATCTTTCAGCCCCGAGTAACTGAGGCAGATCCGCTAGGAAGACATGTGATCCTGATAGTTGTGCTGTCAAAACAGAAGTGATAGCATTTTTCTCTGCCTTGTGACTTTACACGTCTTTTTGTATTGTTTTGGGTGTAAGTCTAGTCTTTTCCCTCACTTGTCATCACAGAGAGATCATTCAGAGTATGTCAGTAGCTCGCCATTTGTTTGTGATCTCCTTTTGCTCTGAAACATGAGCCATTAACTTGAAAGATGTTGGCCACGTTTGCAAAAGTCCTTAAATATTTTAACTTCTCTTGTTGGGGCCACATCGATACCAAAATCCAAATTGCTCTCACTAGAGAAAGTATCCTTTCTATTTAATGTATCAACCAAAGAAACAAAGAAAAATAAAGAATTAATTCTATCCCGATACATAGGCCCCATAATAACTGTGTTGCATTATTAAGAAGAATCTGTTACTAAGAGCTTTGGGTGTCCATGATTCCTTATCTTTTGTATCTTAAAAGAAAGAACAACAAACTCTAGTCTCATTTCGTTGCTAAAAAGCATTTTCAAGTCCTCTTATCTTTTTCTATTTTCTTTTAATTTTATGACCTTCCAGAGCCTGGGAATTTTTTTCCTCTTTTATAATCATTTTAAAGTTGATTTAAATGACATATCTCCTGATTTCCTTATTTGCTTACTCAGACATATTTGTTAAGTGTCCCTTTTGGAGCAGGCACTGTTCCAGACAGTGGGAATATAGCACTGAACAAAATAAACACAGCCCTTGCCTTCATGAAGCACCCACCGCCTAAGGATCAGCTGCGTATAGAGAGGTGATAATTTCACCAAAAGTGTTTTAGAGTGGCTACATTTGAGTGCATTTAAAAAAAAAAAATCTGTTTCACTGTTTTACCCCACAGGGCAGAAGTTATTTGGTTTATGGAATTAAAGAGCAGGGGGGAAGAAAAGGTAGAGGGGAGAGATGAGGAAAGAAAACAGATGTGTTTGTACATCATTTGTAAGAGAAACTACAAAATGAACATAATTATTTTGTATGAATGTAAATGCTGGCCACACAAGTATTGGCTGAAAATGAGTAAAGTATTAACCTAAGAAATTTCCTCTCCTAATCCACCTTTCTATGTTTCTCTTCACACCAGAAGCCACTCTCTTGTTTTCAGTATGGTATCGGTATGGACAAGCCCCTTGTTCCACTAGTTCCTAGGCTCTCTGCACTTCTCCTAACCCAATTGCAATGGTTGGGTAGAGGAGAAGTGGTCAGTTAGACGAAGCCAGAGCTCTGACTCGGTTTTGAAGGGTTGCATCATATCTGGCCCATGTTTGGAAGTTACATCCCTTGCAAAGCATAACAAAAGGAAAGGGCTGCAGAACTACCGACCCGTCCCTATAAATTCAGTCACAGGAGGTCCTGGCGCTGCCCTGTCTCACCAATGCGTGGGCCTGAGTGTGGATGCCAGCACAAAAGACACATCACTTACCTTTCTCTCCATGGAAAATATTGTCTTCATAGAAACACTTTTATTATTATTACTATTATAAAATTCATTGGCATTCTGTTGGGTCACAGATTCTGTATTCTCTCTCAGGACTTTCCCCTTGTAGCAGCCTTTGTGTCTTTCCTTAAGGAGAGGTAGGGGACAGATGACACAAACTTCTTAGGTATTTGCCTCCTCAGTTTTCCTCCCACAGCCTTCTGCATGGAAACATTATGGGATCCAATGTGCACAAATCATTCTGAGCTATTCATGATCAGCTAGCAATTTCCTCTGGCAACTAGGTTAGGGAATCGGGCTAGTGGTGTAGCTGATTTTGTTAGTTGCCAAATAAAGGGAAAGAGGCAGTGTCAGAGAGAATGAACACTATGATAACAGCATACAGAATATATATGCAAAAATTACAGAATATCTTAAGCATCCACTCAAAGCACTCTGTATTCCTTCTCTCTCCTCATCTACATATGTAATAGCTTACTGATTTTTAGCTTCCAACTTGATAATTATTCGACCTAATACTTATTCTTTTTGAATTTTTTAAAAAGCATTGTGCTTGACAGATAGTAAATGCCCAATTATTTAGTTAATACAGGATCTCATGAAGCTATCTTGGTA